GCCAGGATGGTCTTGATCTCCTGACCTCGTGATCCGCCCGTCTCGGCCTCCCAAAGTGCTGGGATTACAGGCTTGAGCCACCGCGCCCGGCCAAGCCTAGTTTTAATGGGGAATTTCCTTATACCATGACTTAAATCCTTTCTGTCCTCTGTTTACTTCTCACAAAGACACACATCCTATAACCAACCAGCAACGACTGAGTTATGTGAGCAAAAGGCTCCAGGCAGGCAAATTCCAACTTCAGAACTGAAAACGAGAAGTCAGCAACACAGTCCTGCCCAAGGGGTGTGATAGGCCTGTCTACACTTCTGCTTCTCTTGTTTCTGCCTGTTTCAATTCAAAGACTTACAAAGCATCAAGCCTTAAACCAAGCACTGGTCTCTCCTCTTCAACATAAGCAAAGACATTGGGTAATTAATTCATACAATGATTCATCAAATCCATCGATAAGTCCTCTGTCTTAAAAGAATAAGAAAACCATCATACCTGTGGGGCATATTTTAGTAAGATAAACCAAACTCACCGCTCCGGGTTAGTGAGGACAAGACCATTAAAAACCCGTGAGAGATCTCGAAGGTTGAAGATGTAATGGAACTTCGACGGAGTGGGAGGTAGGTCTTGCACAATAATTTTGTAAAGTGCTAGCGTGCAGAATGTCAGCTTGCCACTCACAGCCACAATGCTTTCATGAAACGTCTGAAAAATGCAAAGACACCCCCCCAACAGACAAATGTCCTTCAGTAGATGGATGAATAAACAAAATGTGGCAGAGCCGTACAATGGAATATTACTGAGCTATAGAAAGGAATGAAGTTGACTAGGCACAGTGGCTCACGCCTGTAATCCCAGCGCTTTGGGAGGCCAAGGTGAGCAGATCACCTGAAGTCAGGAGTTCAAGGCCAGCCTGACCAACATGGTGAAACCCTGTCTCTACTAAAAATAAAAACATTAGCTGGGCATGGTGGCGTGCACCTGTAATCCCAGCTACTTGGGAAGCTGAGGCAGGAGAATCTCTTGAACCCAGGAGGCAGAGGTTGCAGTGAGCTGAGATCATGCCATTACACTCCAGCCTGGGTGACAGAGGGAGACTCCGTCTCAAAAAAACAAAACAAAACCAACCAGGAATGAAGCACTGACAGACACACACTCCAGCACAGATGACCCTCGAGAACATGATGTGGAGTGAAGCAAGCCAGGCACAGAAAGTCACGTGCTTTATGACTCTATTTATATGAAATACCCAAAATGGAAAACTCCAATGGAGACAAAAGGTAGATTCATGGTTCCTGGGAATGAGAGGTGGGATGGGAGTAAGTGCTAATGCGTAGGGGTTTCCTTCTGGGGTGATGAAAATGTTCTGGAGTTAGACGGTACTGACGGTTGCACGACACTGTGAATGGACTAAATGCCACTGAATTGTATACTTTAAAATGACTATAATAACTTTGTGTTATGTGATTATTATTTTTTTTTTGAGATAGGGTCTTGCTCTGTTTCCCAGGCTGGAGTGCAGTGGCATGATCACAGCTTACTGCAGCCTCTACCTCTTGGGCTCAAGTGATCCTCCCACCTCAGCCTCCCTTGTAGCTGGGACTACAGGACACCACCATACTTGGCTAATTGTTTAGTATTTTTGGTAGAGACAGGATTTCACCACATTGCCCAGGCTGGTCTCAAACTGCTGGGATCAAGTGATCCGCTCTCCTCAGCCTCCCAAAGTGCTGGGATACAGGTGTGAGCCACCATGCCCAGCCATTATGTGAATTTTACTACTTATTTTTTATTTTTACTTTTTTTTATTATTTTATTTATTTTTTTTAGATTGAGACTCTGTTGCCCATGCTGGAGTGCAATGGCACAATCTCAGCTCGCTGAAGCCTTCACCTCCCAGGTTCAAACAATTCTCCTGCCTCATCCTCCCAAGTAGCTGGGACAACAGGTGCCCACCACCACACCCAGCTAATTTTTGTATTTTTAGTAGAGATGTGGTTCTGCCATGTTGACCAGGCTGGTCTTGAACTCCTGACCTCAAATGATCCACCTGCCTCGACCTCCCAGAGTGCTGGGATTACAGGCCTGAGCCACTGCACCTGGCCTGATTTGTTTGTATTGCTCTAGATTTTCACACTAACAAGTCAACATGATGTGAAACCAAAGCCCCCAACCAGCCCTCAGCGGGAGTTTTGACTAGCACAGACCTCACAGTTTTGAAAGCAAATGCCTTCAGGTAGGGCATGAATGGGCCAGGTGCTCACAGTTCCTACTGGTCATGCCTGGCCACTCCACACCTTTATCTTACCCACCGGGCCCCTGGAGCCTCCGAGTGTGCAGACCCCACTTTAGCAGGGAAATGCCAGATCAGAAGATGGTTGTTTAAATGAATGGGTTCCATTTGGAGGAGCCTAGTAAACCATAATAATAACAGCAGTAACTAGCAACTAATGGGTAGCTGCTATGCACTAGGCAGTGTGCACTAGGCAACCTTTACACACATTTTCTCTCCTTTCATCCTCCCAAAACCCAGTGAGGTGGGGACCGTCATGATCTCCCCACTCCAAATGAGAACGAGGTTAGGAGAGTTCAAGGGACCTGATCCCAGAGCAGAAGGGGACTGACTCCAGGGCCTCAGCCTGCTAGTTGATTCTTTGCTGTCACTCACTGTGGCATGAGCACCTCAGGGCCACATCAGGCCTCCCACGAGCCCAAGGCACTTTTGCCTCCATGGACCCCTTCCTCCATAAAAACACATTACAATTACATTTTATAATGACATTGTATAAAGAGGATTTTTTTCTTCTGATTTTGAAAGAAATTAAAACATTTTCATAGGCCCTTGAAAGTACTGAGGGCCCTAGGCTTTGACCCCACTGTGCCTAATGGGTAAGTCAGCCCTGCGTATGCTTCCTCCCAACACAAGGTCTTCCGGTTTAAACTTCTAATTAAAATCAAGTTACCGAGGTATGGCCTTTCAGGATGGAGGAATAAATTAAATGCAGAGACTCCTCTGAAGGAAACGGCACGTTGAAGACACTGAATAGTGAAATAAATCTCGGGTCAACTTCATTGCGGCCTCCTCCGGCTTTTCCCATTGCAGCAATAAAGCCAAGGTCTCGAATGCTTTTACAGTTCAGCTCCTTCCCACGGTCATATAAATAGCCTTTCTCCAACAGCAGCTTCAGCAAGGCAATTGGCTGCTGCGTGCCGTATTCATCCACCTTGATTTTTATAAAAAAGAAAAGAGAATAGTAGTATCGCAAAGCGGGAGTCAGAGAGGCCTTGGCTGACCATCCTAACTCAAGCTCATTTCTCCCGTCACTCTCCAGGGCACCTTGGTTTCAGTTTCACAGGGCTTCTCAAAGGTTGCAACTGTATATATCCATTTGTGACTGTGTTTTTTGAAGTTTGTCTCCCTTACGATACTACAGCTTCATGAGGGCAGGAACTGCATACGTGTTGACTACACAGCACCAGTCTCATAGGAAGGGCTGAATGAATATATGTTAATTCAATTAATGAACAGATGGATAGATGGATGGATGGGTGGATGGATGGACAGACAGACAAATGGACAAATGGATGGATGGACAGATGGACAGACAAGAAGTCAACAGTGCAGTCCCACCCGGGGGTGTGATATGCCTGTCCACACATCGACACTTCTGCTTCTCTTGGTTTCACCTGTTTCAACTCAGGGGCTTACAAAGCATCAAGCCTTAAGCCAAGCATTTGTCCCTTTCTTCATTTAACATAAGCAAAGACATTGAGTAATTAATTCATACACTGATAATGACAGACAGATGGGCCCATCCATTGAATGGACGGATGGATGGACAGATTGATAGATGGATGGATGGATGGATGGATGGATGGATGGATGGATGGATGGAGATGGATGGATAGATGGATGGATGGATGGATGGATGGATGGATGGTGGATGGATGGAGATGGATGGAGATGGATGGATGGATGGATGGATGGATGGATGGATGGATGGATGGATGGATGGATGGATGGATGGATGGATGGATATGGATGGATGGGTGGATGGATGGATGGATGGATGGATGGATGGATGGATGGATGGATGGACAGGTGAATGAACAGACGGGTAGATGGACAAATGGACAGCTAGATGGAAAAACAGACAGACAAGCAAAGAGAAGAATAGATGGATAGATTAATAAATATATGAGTGGATGGACAGATGGATGGTTGGATGGATGAACAGATAGGTAGGTAAATAACAGATAGGTGGATGAAAAAACAGACACATGGATGGATGAAGGGAAGAATAGACTGATAGATGAATGAACATATGGATGGATGGATGGATGGATGGATGGATGGATGGATGGATGGATGGATGGATTCTGGCTTTGCATACAGTCCTTCTGGAAATAGACTTTCAGAAAAAAAAATGGTTCTATGAAATAATGTAAATTTTAATTCTAGTATGCTAAGAAAACTTTGTACTTCTCAGGCTCTGACCCCAGAAACATACTCATAAGGCAGCCAAAGTTTTTCTTCCTCAAAAAGTCCAGCGGAATTCTTGGGAAGTATCTGCCCTGATGCCTCCCATGTACAAGGAGCCAACATCAGTATTATTAATTTAAAGAAGAGCTCCTTTAGAAACTACTTCCTCAAATACATACTGAATTTAGTTCAAAGGCCGCCAGCTACCTGCTTCCCTCCTCTAAGAAACTAGGGAACGTGATCAGTCAGGGCAAGGTCCCTCTGTGTAAGAACAGCATCCCAGGCACATTCTGCCCTAGGCTGGCTCCCTGCAGCCTGCGCCCTGCAGACATTGCACAGAGGTAAATATCAACGTTCTCATACTCACTTCTAACACACACACACCCATGCAAACACAAGCACTGTCTTGACCCATCCCTCCACCTGCTTGAGCGTCTAACTACCCTTGGCATATTCATGTCATCCATGAACACCAGCAGGCGTTTTCCCATGGGCGGGCCGTAAGTATCTTTGGTTCGCTTTTCCACATTTGCTTCTAAATTTCTTTGGATATCCATGGATGTGGTGCGGGAGGAGAAGTTGACCATTAACACAATCTGAAGCAGAAAGAGATGATGTGAAAAGCCAGTCTTTTCTTCAGGGTACAGCAGTCAACATTTGCACACAAGCTAGCAACTATTTTGCAAATCCCTCTGAACTAACTTTTTAATAACCCAGTGTGAGTCTGTGCTTCATTATTTTCTAAGTGCTAAAGCAAGAGTTTCTCTTTCCTTTCAGCAGATTGTATGAGTCAATAGCGAATTGTCACATGTGAGCCTTGGGGACAATGTGACATAGAAGAAAGTAGACTGAGGGTCTTGTTTCTGCACAGTTCTAGCAAGGCGACTTCCAAAAAGTCATTCAACCTTTCAGAGCCTTGTTCTTCTCACTTGTAAGACGATTGTAATGACATCTTTTTGGACTACTTCATAGAGTAATTGCATCGTATGAGATGCAATATCCAACAGTATTTTCAATATGACAATATTCAAACATAAATCACTATCATGCTGGCTGTATCGAAACAGGTCAAAGAGAGCACGAACAAGTGGTTCAGGCTTTGGGACTAACTGCTGGTGGGAAGGGTGAGGGAAGCCCCCTGGATGCTCATGCATGTGTCCTCAGCCCTCCTGCCATGCTTAGGCTGGCGAGAGCTCCTTGAGTAGTGGTTCTCACACTTAACTAATTATGCATCAGCTCCACCTGCAGGGCATGTGCCACACACCTTGCTGGGCTCCATTTCCCAGAGTTTCCAATTTGGTAGATCAGGGTGCGTTTTGTATTTTTTTTATTTTTAGGAGATAGGGTCTTGCTCTGTTGCCCAGGCTGGAGTGCAGTGATGTGCAATCATAGCTCACTGCAGCCGTGAATTCCCAGCCTCAGGTGATCCTTCATCAGCCTCTTGAGTAGCTGGGACTACCAGGCACAAACCACCATGCCTGGCGGTCTGGGATCTTTTTTTTTTTGAGACAGAGTCTCGCTCTGTCACCCAGGCTGGAGTCCAGTGGCGTGATCTTGGCTCACTGCAAGCTCCGCCTCCCAGGAGAATGAGGCCATTCTCCTGCCTCAGCCTCCCAAGTAGCTGGGACTACAGGCGCCCACCACCATGCCTGGCTAATTTTTTTGCATTTTTAGTAGAGACAGGGTTTCCACTGTGTTACCCAGGATGGTCTCGATCTCCTGACCTCGTGATCCACCTGCCTCAGCCTCCCAAAGTGCTGGGATTACAGGCGTGAGCCACCATGCCCGGCCTCTGGGATCTTTTAAACAAGTTTCCAGTGATGCTGAGGCGGCCAGTCTGGGGACCATACTTTGAGAACGAACCTCTGCCTTCCATAACCCTCTCCATGTAGGGCACCCAAAGTGCAGGTGCACACGAGCTGAACGTGTTGAAGCTGAATGTGTGCCTTGCTAAAGCGACTGCGTTCAGGTGCACCTGGCCAGGCTGATGAGCACCAGCTGCAGAGTCCTGGGGGAGGGGTGTTGTGATGGAGGCTCCCAAATGCGGCATCCTAGTGCCTGACTCCACAAACCCGTAGGTCCCCCTGGCTGTAAACCCCGCCATGCTCCCTGTGCACATCTCCATGTTTATCCTACCACTGCCTGCGAATCCCTACAGAACAGATCTTCACAGCTTGTTCACTTCACTTGTCCTGTGCACCTCGCAAACTCCATGCTGGGTACATATCCGACCTCCTACAAATTGGACATGTAACTGACTGGAGGAAGGAAAGGAAACACTTGAAAAGTTTTAAAAACCCAAAAATGATGGTGAATAATGTGACAGCCAGCCTCTAAGAGGGCCCCAGATCCTCCTCGCCTCCAGGTGTCCACGCCCTGGTGCAGGCCCCTCCCACACTGTATCAGGGTGTACAGGGTGGATTCTGTCTCCCCCATAGATTAGGGCAGAAGGGAGGGTATGTGACTTCCAAGGCCAGGTCATAAAAGACATCATAGCATCTGCTTTGGCACCTATCTTAAGCACTCACTCTGGAGGAAGCCAGCTACCATGTTGAGCACACCCAAGCCATCTGTGGAGAGGGCCCCATGGTGAGGAATGGAGGCCTCCAGCCTTCAGCCATCTCAGATGAGGATCCTCCAGCTCTAGCCAGGCCTCCAGATGTCTACAGCCCTGGCCAACAGCTTGACTGCAATCCCATGAGAGCCTGAGCTAGAAACCCTCAGGTAAGCCACTCCCACATACTTGACCCACGGAAACTGTGAGATCACAGTGTTTGTTGTATGAAGCTGCTATGTGCTGGAGTAATTTGTTACACAGCAATAGATAACTCATATGAATAATGACTTACGTTAGTTTCTTCACTCAGATTTTTGAGGAAATTCTGGGTAGTGGCTGTCTTAGAAGTGCCAGATTCACCAACAAAAATAACAGGTTGCTTAATTTTAACCATTTGTTCCAATATCCAGGTAGACCGAGTGGTATCCACTGTGTGAACTAAAATAGATATTAACAACAGGGGCATCTCAGTAGCTCCAGTAGGGTGAGCACTGGGGGCAACGTGGAATTGTCCTAGAACCCCACAGATCCCATAAAAAACAGCAGCAAAGGCCAAGACATGACCTCAGAAACAGTCACCCATTTAAGTGTATAATTTATTGACTTTGGCACAGTTCTACAGCAGTGCGATCCTCACCACAGTCCAGGTTTAGAACACCCAAGCTGTTTTTAAGATGCAATTCTGACTTATACTCAGGATATTAAAAACTCAGCTTCTCTGTTGCTGACATCACTCAGACCCCTGCGGGATTTAACTTCCTGACCAACACCTTCCTCTGAAGAGACAGTGAAACCACAGCATCATGTGCGGCTCCCTCCTGCACTGGCATATTTTCATCCTGATGGACTCCTGAGAAAACAGGGACGTCCCACTCTACAAGTTCAATGGACCAAAGTCAGACACATGCTTTGTGAAATTATTCAGCCCATATTTTATCTAAATAGCCAGAGGGGTGCATTCTAAATGTGGCTCAGTATATAAACGCCCATGGCACACAGCTTTTCAAGTGAGCGCCCTTTATAAAACACTGCCTCATTCCTTGCTGTTTGGTCCCCACCCAGACAGCTCTGTGGACTGAAGATGAGCCTAGGGAAAGGCAAGGGGAGGCGAAACAGCATCTCATCCACCTGTGGGGATTGGCCTGCTGGGGAAAGAGCCACGGAAGATACTCAGAGCCAGCAGCTGACAAAAATACCAAAGGGGCCACCCTCTGTGCCCAGGAGGGCCCACGGCTCACCCTCTTCAATTCTTCTCTACCAGCTCTCTGCGTGGGACTCAGAGTACCAGAGAAGCCATGGGATATTCTCTGCCTCCTCCTAGAGTGAGGATCACACACTCCTAAACCCAGGAACAAGGATTTGACTATGACTTACCCAGGATGTCGATAAATTTCCTCTCGGGGGCATGAATATACTCTGGAACTAATTTACTCCATGGGACCCACTGATTCCGTTTGTCATCAAAATGAAAGTCATACAAGGTTGGAAGTTGACCTGCAGGAAATAATGGTTGATTTCACTTCAATCATAAACATGGAAATGTAAAACCGGTTCTGGCACATGCTTGAAATGAACTAATGTTGCGTGTACCGCAAGGAGGCCATAGTGAGTACTTCAATGCTGCTCCTTTACTGGACAGATATCGAGTACCTTGAACTAACGCTACTCATCACTGGACACATACCAAGTATTTGGAGCTTATGTTTCTTGTTCACGGGACAGTCACTAATGTGACTTGTGCACTGGTCAGGCACTTTCTGAGTGTTTTCAACTAACGCTTCCCATTCACTGGACATACACTTCCCTGCGAATACAATAGCGAAGCAGAGAGCCCTGGTCCCTACCCTTGCAGTTGTTGGAGGGCCAGGTGGGGGACAGATGCAGGCAAGAAGTGGCCATTTCAGTATGGAGCCGTAAGTGCTGCAGCGGGAGACGTGCAGAAACAGCGGACAACACGGGAAGGCAGCAACCCAGGCGGGGCAGGGGAGAGATGGAAGCTGCGGGTGCCCGGGTAATCACCATCGCCTCCACCCAGGCCATGCAAGGCTTTACTTGAGTGTGTCTAAGAGCTGACGGGATGGTAGAGAGGGGGAGACTGAAGATGAGAGAGAGAGACTCAGATGGAACGAGGAGCCTGAGAAGGAGGAAGGGGCTGGGTTGGCCTCGGCTGGGGTGGAGTGGGGCTGTCCTCTTCCACTGTAAAAGGAGAAAGCTGAAGACGGGAGCTGTGGGCTTTTCCGCTGGAAGGAGAGATTCCTATCAGACCGCTGCTGCTGTTCCTGTGGAAGCAGGAAGAAAGATCAGCTGCAGAGAAAGGCGAGGGGCAGGGTGGAGATGTGGGGAAAAGGCCCAACGCTCCTTTGGAGCCAGGAGTGAGGGTGCCAGCTGGGGACTGGGATGTATGGAGACATCTGTCTTTGTGGCTGCATGGTCTTCTCCCTGTCAGCCCCTAGAGAGGCCGAGAAGATAGACTTGGGGTTTTCTCAGAGGGATTCAACAGGACAATTAGGCAAGGCATTTGGGGGTCTCAGGCAAGAGTGACTGAAGTGAAGGCCACCAGCCAAGGAAGTGAGGATGCAGGGAAGGGGCAAGTATGGGTGCTTGAGGCGACAGCAGACACTGGGGCAACAGAGTGGCCATCCCCATGAGGCCAAACAGGAGCACAGTGGCCCGAGTCACAGAGGCAGAGTAGGCGGAGAGCAGGATTCGTGACACAGACATGACAGTGCTAGAGGTCACCGTCAAGGGTGTGCTCGAGGGCCTGGAGGGCTGGAGTTGTGAGCAGGTGTCAGGAAATGGGATGCCCACCGGGCCATTCAGGCCCCCAAGATGAGGGCAAATGAGGGAGGCAAGCCAGGGAAGCAGGCCAACATCATCTCCGAGTAAGGGAATTGTAGACGGCAGCAGTGCACAGCCAGCGTGGCCGGCGGAGCAGAAAAGCACTCCCTCAAGGGAGACTTCAGCTCTGGAAGAGTGCACTCAGACTCCCACCGAATAAAGCAGGGACTTGTAAAACATCTTTGATTTGCTCCATGACTCTCCATTAGAAAGACCAGAGGTCATTTCATTTTAAACTTTAAAAAGACCACCAGGTAAGGAGTATAAAATACAACTTCAAAAGCCATCTATATTTCAAGCCATGCTCAAATAGCAATAAGAGATGGACAAAGAAGAGTCCTAGCACTGCATGTAGACCTTGGAGAATGCATCTTTTTCATCATGGATGATTCACTGAAGATGTACATTTTTGTGCAAAAACATAAAATGTTAATTTTATGATTTCCTATGAACGATTTACAAATCCACTCTTGATTGTCTACTGTGCAAATAGTCAGGAATACAGCAGATGAATTATATGGTGGAAATGGAGTGAGGTGGTTAAAAATAAAAATTAAAAAACAGATAGGGAAGCCCACAGGAGAAGATACTCAAAGTCATGCAGAATGTGAGAAGTTTAAAGAGCAAAGGAAGCAAGTGCCTACGCTGAGGCAAGAGAAGTTGACTGTCATCCAGAAAGACCATCCAGAGGGCTTGGGCTTCTACCACAGCAGCCGATGCATTTGAACGGCTTCTGGGGTCTCCATCATGTGCTCTGACCATTGCATGTTTCTCTAAAGAAGCAAACAACCTGGAAAACTCAGACAGACAGAAATGTAGAAAAGCTTGTTCATTTCCTCTAGAAATTTAACCAAAGGCACTCAGAGCAGGGAAACAGGTGACACTCGGTTCCCACCTGGCAGTTCCCCAGGGTTGGCCCAAACTCCTTCTGTGTCAACAGTAGACAAAGAAGCAAGGCGTTTGATATATTCGTCAAATTTCGTCCTTCCATCCTCAAGCAGGGAGGCTCCCAGAGAGCAGTATAGAGCCTCCAGGAAGTAGCACTCCAGCAGGTCGAGGTCCTCTATTTCTCCTTCTAGTAATGCATCCAACATCTTGGCTAACTGGGTTACCTGGTTCACAGGAAAACATCTGGTTCAGCTCACATAGTCCACCCCCACAGTCCACCCCCACAGAGTCCATTCCAGTCATAAATCCTGGGATCCCAGATCCCAGAGCGATGGTAGCATATGACCCATCACGTTGATTCCGACAGATGGAACCCAGTATCTTGACTTGCACAAAAGCAAGCATGGCGCCCTCCTTGGCACTGACCAACAATGCTACTGTTTACCCTGTCTGGCATCTTCACTCCCCTTAAAACCCTACTGTGAGCCTGTCTTTAGGAAATAATTTCTTTTTGCTAACAGCAGGGATCGTTTCTTACCATATTGAGGTCTGTCTGAGGAACTATTGTCTTCAGCTTCTCTGTTTGTCTTCCATCCACTATCCCTTCCACTATCACATCCACGAGATAGGGCACATATTTCTCAAAGAGACTATTCAAATTGTATTGTTCCACCTGTAAAAAAGCAGCATTCCAAAGCATTTCAAGGGTTTGTTTATTTAAATGGAAGTTAGTGGAAAGCTGTTCTTGCCCAAAGAGGATTGAGCAACATCTTCTGATGAATGATACATCTGGAAACCTGGATAATAATGCCCTATATTAGCAGAGAGATTTGTCCTTTACAATATGCTTTCATCTCATCATGAGGTGTTTCATTTCGCTGCCACAGGGTCTACCATGCCCTTGGGGAGGAAGAAGGGAAGATAACAGTTCCCACTTGACAGGAAAGAGGCTGATCATCTTAGAGTTCAAGTGACCACAGTCATCCAGCAAAGACTGTAAAGCAGCGAAGGCCCCCTCCCTATCAAGGCGCCAATCACCACCAGGGATTGCACGGGTCCTGAGACAGCTGTCTCCCACAGGACAGTGCTTCAAATGGTTCTATCATGCTTCCTTTGTTCTGCTCTTCTCTGGCATAATTATGTCCTGGTTTCCATTCACCTCCAACCTAGTAGCCCTCCTAGAGACACACCCAGACCACCTGTGTTCCTTTGAGAAGGTGGTCATAGTGTCCTAGGTGTGGTTGAGCCACAACCCGAACATGAGTGTCACATCCATCTCTGCACTTTTCACAGAAGCCTTTTGTTAAGACAACACATTTCTGGCCTGTCATCTGTTTTGTAAATAAAGGTTTATTGGTACACAGCCATGCCCATTCGTGTACAAATTTCTGGCTGTTTTCATGCCACAACAGCAGAGTTGAGTAGTGAAAGAAATCATATTGCCCACACAAAGTCTCAAATATTTACTATCTACCCCTTTACAGAAAAAGTTTGTCAACCTCTGGTCTAGACCAACCAATCCAATCATTACCTATCCCACTGGCTATAAATTATCTGAAACCAAATAAGTGTGTCTGCCATGTTTTCACTTAATTTGTGCTCAGGGACACAGGCAGGTCAAGGACAAGGTCATCGCCTTCGACTACAAACATCCCTCTGGACTATGTTATCCAACTAGCCATCAATACTGATAACTTTAAGTTCATTTTAGAAAAAAACTTCACCTTGTTTGGTATTTGATTAACCCATTTTTCCCAGTAAGGTCTATATTTCAAGTTTTTAGGGTCCACATAAACCATTCCACATCGAGAGACAGTTGCAGGGGAGGCATACTGTAAATCTCCAACCTGGAGAAATAAAGAAAATCAATCATGACTACAGCTATACACAAGATAAACTAGATATTTAAGGATCTTCTCTTATGGAAAGTTTTTACAACTGCATGAAATCCAAATCATACCAAAATGAACACAGTTTTCATGAGGTTTTTAACTGAACACCTGGGATTTTGATGAGAAGATTACACACTTCTGATGTAACATCTTTTCAGTTTTTCTATAATAAAATTAATGTGAAAATATGTTGTAGAATATCTGACAAAAAATAGAAAAGTATAAAGAAGAAAATAAGTTATCCAAATCCCACCACCTAGAAACAAATGTTGTTTTGAAGTGTTTCCCAGTCAATCTTTTTTCTTTATTATTTTTTTAACATAGTTGAGATCAGGCAGTATAAAACTTCATAAGTACACAGCTAAACCAGATAATATTAACAAACCTAGCTCTCTCTACAAAAAAATATAGTTCAGTCAGCTAATCAGATAGTAATATGTACAAATATTCCATGTACCCACCAATTTTACAGTTAGAAATGGCATTAATACTAAGTTAGAGTGAAAGCAAGTCCCAGGGCCACACCTATGAAACAAGCAGTCCATATCCTAAGCAGGAGATAGAGGGCTTTGGAGAATAGTCTCCAGTAAATAAAGGGACTCGACAGAATACTTGATATGATAGAAAGTTTTTAAAAAATGAGGTTAAGATAAAGGCAAATAGTGTGAGAAAAAAAAAAAAAAAAAACGGACTTTAAACCAACAAAGATAAAAAAAAAAAAAAAAAAAAGGAAGGCAATTACAAACTCCAGACAAAGCAAATGGCTCTAAAAGAAAGTAAATGTAATCACAGTATATTAGTTGGTTCTTCAGTAAATATTTCTATCTTCATTATAATGTAAACATTATCTACTGTTAACCAATTTAGCAATATACTATTCTGACGTTAGTGGTATAAGAGATGAATTCTCACTTTTGTAGCAGTCAGTCGACAGATAATGTATAAACTATAAAATGTATAAAGGAAGAATATCATGCTAAGCCTGTTACTTATAGACAGTAGGGTAATCATGAGAAGAAACAATTCATAAAAAGTAAAAGTAGTCACCTCTGGGACGGAGAGGGATGACAGGAGTAAAGAACAAAGAGTTGTACTCATTATAAACCCTTATGTATTGTTTGTTTTTAAATAATCATCTATATTTACTACTACTTTAATAAACATTTACATTTTTAATTACAAGAAAGACTTATGTTCAAATTTACTTTTAATCACTACTTGCCTCAAAGAGCAGGGCACAGTGTGCTTGGAGCCGGATGCGTTCCCCATTGGCCAATGTCAACAACTTGTTGTCATCCATCACAGAATTCATGTTTTCCACCCATAGAGCATCCACATCACCATCAAATAAAATATACCTGCAGCAACCAAAGAAAGGAGAGGTATGGGTCCTAGAGAGTTTCCAACTATGGAACTTGGTATAACCTGCCCATTCATGTTGAATGTCTTTTTCCCAGGGTTTTCTAACCAGAATCTGAGACAGAGCACCCTAGCTGGCCCACAGGTTTAACTGAATGGTACATAAAAAATTGTTTGAGCCTGTAATCCCAGCACTTTGGGAGGCCAAGGTAGGTGGATCACGAGGTCAGGAGTTCGAGACCAGTCTGGCCAACATAGTGAAACCCAATCTCTACTAAAAATACAAAAAATTAGCCAGGCATAGTGGTGTGTGCCTGTAATCTCAGCTACCCAGGAGGCTGAGGCAGGAGAATCACATGAACCCAGGAGGCAGAGGTTGAAGTGAGCTGAGATAGCACTACTGCACTCCCGCCCAGGCAACAGTGCAAGACTCCGTCTCAAAATTAAAAAAAAAAAAGTTTGAGTTAATTGCCAATATTTAAGAATGAGGGAACTTCACACAAAAATCTGAATTTCTCACTTCTTGGGCAAACTGGAAGTTCTGAGCACACAGACCTGGATTCCTTCATGGGAACAATCTGCTGATGCTGAGGAGTGGCTGCCCATGGAGACAGAAAGTATCATAGTCCCTGCCCCTGCCACAACGCCTACCTCATTCTCTTACACCTGAGGCTGAGTATCAATTGCTATTGATCACTGGTTTTAACCCCTGGTTTCCTGTGGTACAGTCAAGAGTAAAGAAAGTATTTTGGATATCCATGTGTAGTGGGTCGAATGGTACCCACTCCCCATCAAAAGATGTGTTCACCCAGAAGCTGTGACTGGTGACCTTGTCTGGAGAAAGGCCTTTGCAGATGTAATTAAGGATCTCAAGATGCGATCATTCTGGCTTATGCAGATGAGTCCTAATCTAATGACAAATGCCCTTATAAGAGAAAAGCAGGAGGAGACATGAGACACGCAGAGGGGAAGGCCAAGACAGAGGCAAAGATTAAAATGATGTGGCCACAAGCCAAGGAACACCTGGAACCACCAGAAGCAGAAGAGGCAAGGATTTGCCCTAGAGCCTTTGGAGGGAGTGCAGTCCTGCTCACACCTCTTTTCAGACTTTTGGCCTCCAGAATTGTGAGATAATAAATGTCGGTTGCTTTAAGCCACCCAGTTATTTGTTATGGCAGCCCTAGTAAGCTAACACCACCATGTAATTTGCTCCATTTCACTCATTTGTGCTACCTGCTGGGTCCCTGGGAGAATCTGAGTTTACAAGTCCTGGTTTACACACCATGTGTGCTGGCAGTACGTCTACTTCCAAGGCCTCAGGTATTCAAGCTTCAGGATGCTTTCATTTTGTGGCTATACTGGGTGACATCTCATGCAGCGAAGCCCATCTCCACAGGACAGACGCTATTCTACTGTGCTGAAATGGTGGTTTGATAGTGCCTCCATTTAACTCATTGATATAAGTAGTTGGATTTTTTTTTTCAGCATTAACATTTTGGTTTATTTCCTTCCCATATCTTTTTTCTTTTTAGCTTTTTATTTTTAAATAATTTCAGACTTACAGAGTTACAAGAATAAAATAGTATGAAGAACTCCCATATGCCTTTCAGTCAGATTCCCCCACTGTTACGTTTTTTACCAGATTTGCGCTCTCTCTTACTCTCTCTCTCTCTCTCTCTGAATCATTTGAGAGTCAATTGTAGATAAAATGTCTCCTTCCCTTAAATACTTAAGCAAGTATTTCCTAAGAATAAGCACCTTCTCTTACACAACCACAGCAGAATTACCAAACTCAGGAAATTTAATATTGATACAATACTATTATCTAATATAAAATCCACATGCAAATTTCACCAGTTGTCCCTATAGAAAATCTCCGTTTATATTCATTATAAGAGGACTCAAAGGCCAGGCGTGGTGGCTCACCCCTGGTGATCTCAGCACTGTAGGAGACTCAGCACTGTAGGAGACTGAGGCAGGAGAATCCCTTGAGCCCAGGAGTTCAAGACAAGCCTGGGCAGTACAGGGAGACTCTGTCTCTACAAAAAAAGCAAAAATAGGCATGGTGACATGCACCTGTAGTCCCAGTCACTTGGAAGGCTGAGGTGGGAGGATTGCTTGAGCCTGGGAGTTCGAGGCTGCAGTGAGCAGTAATCATGTCACTGCACTTAGCCTGGGCAACAGAGCATGACCCCGAAGAAGGAGAAGGAGGAGAAGGAGGAGAAGGAGGAGAAGAAGAAGGAGAAGGAGAAGCAGAAGGAGAAGCAGAAGCAGAAGCAGAAGCAGAAGAAAAAGAAGAAGAAGAAGAAGAAGAAGAAGAGGAAGAAGGAGGAGGAGGAGGAGGAGGAGGAGGAAGAGGAGGAGGAGGAGGAGAAGGAGGGAGGAGGAAGGAGAAGGAAGGAGGAGAAGGAAGAAAGAAGAAGAAGAAAGAAGGAAGAAGAAGAAGCAGGAGGAGGAGG